TAAAATAATAACAATAATAATTATACAATATCGGAATATTAATCTAATAAAATAATAAACGGTTCTATAACAGTATTCTCACTAATGAGTGTGAGGAGTGAGTAAGCAGGGCGAGTAGAGCGAGTGATCAAGTGAGTGAGTGAGTGAGTGAGTGAGAGAATAACTAACATAATTTTGTCAATTGGGAATCATGAAAACAAAAAAAAGGTGATTTATAAAGACTTTACTTTTTTTTTTTTACGCTAAAAATGATTGATATTGTGCATGTAGTATACAATTAATCATATACGTAGAAAGAGTTGTTATATTATAAATTCAAAACTAGACGAAGATCGAATGATACCAACATGTACAAGGATATGTAATGATTTGATTATTTTGCTTTTCTGTAAAAATTTCTGTAAGAAATCATAAAAGGAAATCGTACGTTATTAAATTATTTCGTTTTTACATATGTACGTATATATGTAAAAAAAAAAAATTCTATTAGAAGATCATGCGTTATTTAAAATTATTTGCTTTTTTACGTAAAAGGGATTTTTATAAGGAGATCATATATTATTTTAATTAAATAATTAATTTTAATTAATGATTTTAACTAAATTAATTAATTAAAGACCAAATTAAAAATATCTGATATCTTATTTCTTTGAAAATTAAACGGTCACCTTTTTCGCTATCACTGTAAGAATTAGTTGAGTATTAACAAAGTCTTCAGATGTTAGTAACGTTATCATGCCATTTAACTATTATTAAATATATACAAACGGCTATATAAAATTACGAAATATTGAGAAAATCATTTCACATATACGAGAAATATACTCATACGTAAATGAAAAAAATAAAAAAATAAAAAACAAGAAATGACAACTAAAAGTAGCTTAGAGAAGATTTTTATTAAAAAATGATGAAATTGTTTTTTTAAAGATAAATGTAAAAAAAAATATATATATATAAATGTTGCCTAAATAAATTGATGATTCGAAAATTTCACTAATTAATGAAATAATTTTATAAAAAATAACATCCATGTTTGCTGCCATTTCTTTTATTGAAACCGTCTTTGGTGGCTCTATTTTAACTGGTATTGCTACCTATAGGCTTGATTATAATGAATTCATTCATTATAATTACAAAGTGTTCTCTTCTGCTGAAAATCAGCATATGATCAATAAAATTCAACAAAACACAATAATGCTGATTATCGGCAGATTTGTTTTAGAAAATTCGCAGCTAAATGTAAGTAAAATTAAAGCCTCTTTCGGTCAATTGAATTAATAAAAAAATTGAAATAAAATAAAAATAAAATAAAATAATTAATTAAAAAAAAATAAATAAATAAACAAATAAAAGGTTACCGTCACTCAAGCGATTTTGTTAGCGTTAAAAATAATCGAAGGACAACCAACAGTATATGATCTTCCAACATGCCCACTATTCGGAAGTTATACAGCTCTATGTAAATCTTGGGAATTCAACAAAAATTCAACCTCATTTTTCACATTAGAACGGAGAGCCTATAATCCTCTAACTTCACATTATGTTACATAGGAAATTGTGTGTTCATATGATGCTGGAAATTCTAGACATATCAGTGTTCCCAAAGCTATAGAAACTAAAGCAATTATGTTTGTTTGTAGTGAGTTGTATAAAGGAAATAACAAGGTTCAAATTTTGACATCAGAAATTGAATGAAATTATACTCACTCAAGTAGTAGGAATACTGTATCACTTTTAGAAAATATTAGTAGTAAAAAACGTAATCAATATTTAATAAATTACGAAGACAAATATCAAAATAAAAAACCTAATTTGCAACAAACAAAAGTAACCATCGACGAAAACGAAGAGCATTATGAAGACAAAGATTCTGCTAAAGAATTAGAAAATAAAACTCAAGATAAAATTGAAGAGAATATTAATTTAAAACTAATTTGTTAAAATTCGCAATTAAAAAAACTACAAAAAAATAACAAAAATAACCTTTTTTTTTTCTTTATGATGTATTTATGACGTATCGATTCTTATAACAATATTCTTATTTTTTTTACTATAAGTTTTAATAAAATTAAATGTAATATTAAAAAAAAAAAAAAGGATACATATATATATTTTCTACTTTTATTTCCAATTCAAATTAAAATCCTTTTATTCGAAAATTATCGAATGACTAATTAATATAACCCTAGAAAAAAAAAGTGATTTTTTATCAGACCATAATGTAACGCGCATATAGTATAAATAAGAACATACAAAAACAAAAAAAAACAAAAACAAGTGCAAACTTCGATAACCAAATCAAAAAAAAAATAAATACTAAATTTACAAACTCAATAAATATGCAACAAACACAAAGTACACAAAATATCCCATTGGATTTTATATTTTCTCAAACTTCCAATATGACCAATGAACCATAGAAAATATCAAATAAACTTCAAGAATTATTTAAGGAATTTCAAGAAACAATTTTATATGATCACTCCTCAAAACCATGCACATATTGTTCTATCTTAATGATGAACAAAGCAGTGAATTGGATTGATTATAATGAATTTGAAAACTATACATTATCTATTGTTTTTCCAGATATAAATATAGTAATTCGAATAAATAATAGAGGTAAAAAAAAAGTTGCTATATACTCTTCTTGTAAAACTGAAAAAAACCATTGCTACCCACCAATTTTATCCCAAATACCAAAAGAAATCAATAACATCCTTATGGTATACTGAAAACAACTTTCGCCAATTTACATGAACTGTACATTAGTACACACTTCAGGATCAAACTATTATTCGAACTACTGTCACTTGCAAGGTCTAATTAATCTTTCCAAAAACGTTCATGCTCTTGAATTACATTCGGATCTAATTGGTGCATTTATAGAACAAGAAACACCAAATTGGTTTCACCAAACACTAATACCAGCAAGTGAATGGTTAAAAAATAACAATCCAATATTTAAAAAATATGATCAAATACATATACCTACTCGATCTTCAGAAACAAATAATCTTCGATCTTTCCCTACTGCTAAACCAATCAATACACAATCTTACACAACACAATGACCATTATTAGCCTACCGAACAACGACTTCTCTACAGAAATACACAATGAAGATTACAGATACCAACGATTGATAGCAGGATTTCTTAAAATAGATGATAATTTAACTTTACCAATATCAAATAATAATCTAGACATTGAGGCATTATTATTTCCAGACCTTTTTCCAACTGGGCATTATCACTACGAAGATTCTAAAAAACTATTAGAATTCAGACAAAATATTGACAGTTATGAAAAATATATAAAACTACGAATGCTATGTCCTGATCCGAGATTCAGACTTCATTAGTACTGGCTATATTGATCATATTTAAATCTTGAAAAAAAACACAATTATCAAAATCAAAATAGAATCATAAACCAAAAAAAAGTTACATGCAAATTTCTTCCAACTAGAACTGACCTAATATCCACAAGTACTTACACTAATTAACCCATTATAAACGAAAATTTAACAACAACCTTGCTGTCATATATCAGAATCACAGAACCTTTCTTTATAAAAAAACAATACCAAGTTAATATAATGCTCCAAAATTATGGTCTACCCCAAATTTTTTATACATTAATAATAGGAGAAGACAAATGGCCTCACCTAAAAGATATACTAAGTAATACTGATAATAAAGACCCACTACCAACTAATAGACCATTACACGTATACTTACATTATCATAACAGACTAAATAATATACGTAACAGACTTTGAAAAGATCCTGAAATCGTCCAATAGAGAAAATATTTAGATTATTTCGAACGAGATGAATTCTAAAACAGAGGAACTATATATACACATGGTTTTACTTATACTGAAATAAAAATACCAGAACTAATCGAAAAAACCACTATACGTGCAGACATGCCCGATCTCATTACTAAAACAACACTCTTTCAATTAGTATCCACGTATTAAATACACCAATGCATTGAAGAAAAATGTAGAGACCTAAAGACCGATACAAAACCTTGTAAAAAAGGATTTCTACAACCCTTATCAAACTACACATATTGTAAGCCTAACTCTAAAAGATATACTTACAAAAGAACAAAAGAAATTGATCATTGGATAGTTTTATACCATCCCGAAACTTTACTTATCTGGCAAGGTCACATAAACTTTCAATATGTGACTACTCTTGGATTCGGAAAATATGTAACAAAATACACTACCAAACCTGAACCGACAGAACTATTCGATATAATAGAACAAGACTCATATAAAAAACATGTACAAGCTAGAAGACTGGGATCAATAGAACTAATGATATTACTTTTACAATATCTAATAACAAGATCATCAACCACTGTACAATATCTCCTATCAGCACCATCAGAACTAAGAATCTAATCGGTAAAACCAATACATATACAAATACCTGAAAATGATGATGATGATAATGACAGTGAAAATGAAAATAACAAACCATATTTTGATGATACCATCGACAAATATTTCGACAGATCAAAAGATAACATTTTCGAACCTATGACTTACCCTAATTATTTTAAAAACTATAATGTGAGAAACAAACCACCAGGACACCAATCAAAACTTATCATCTACCGAGACCTCAAAAATAGATATATTACTAAAAGAAAAAGCCCTTACTATTAAGATTCACAAACTATAAAATTGAAGACAGAGAACCATTTTTTTTCAACATTTAATAACAAACATTCCAGCATGTTCTCAACATGAATTACTCAGAAATAATCTGAACTTTCATGAAACATTCTGGAATGAATATCCAGAAAAATATTAACAAATACTAAACAAAGAAAATAAAGATTATTTAATTTCTAAAAGTGCTTTCTCAAAAGCATTTAAACAACATCAGCAAATTTAAAGGAGCAAAATATTGCGAAAGAATTTGTATTACGAAAAAATTTCGCAAATTAGCGCAAAAAATTTCGAAATATTTCGAAATATAATATTTTCAAAAAATTTCGATAAATATTTCGAAATATTTCGAAAATTATTTCGCAATATTGTATCAAAATAATTTCGAAATAATTCAAAATAATTAAAATTAATGAAGAATATGCTAAATATAATAAAA